ATACCAGAGTGGAGTGGCCTCAAACTCACAGAGCTATGCCTCCCCTTCCCCTCCCAAATGCTAGGATTTAAGGCATTTGCCTCCCTTTAAACCTGCATGCTTTTAAGATTTAGGAATGTTGTAGCACCTAAAGTAATTCTTTTTCTTCCTGGACTGGGCCCCATTGTTTGGATCTACCATATTTTGCATGTCTATTCATGACTTATGGTAAGACAGGTAACCTTTAGACTTTAAATCTTCTGCAGTGTCTTAAGTCAATTTGTCTTTTCACAAACAGTTGTAATAGAATGTTGTGATTGTACCTTTTTAATTCTTTTGAGAAATTCCTATGAAGTCTAGGTTTAAAATAACGTAGTTTAGAACTACTAATCTAAGTAAACAAAAAAAATCAAGCTAGGCGTGGTGGCACACCACTGGGGAGGCAGAGGCAGGTTAATCTCTGATTCAAGGCCAGCCTGGTCTACAGAGAGAGTTCAAGGACAGCCAGGTCTACAAAGAAACTCTCGAAAAACCAAAATAAATAAAAATCACCAACCTAAAGCATCGTGTAGAACATTCTCATATTACAAAAATGTATATAAATGCTATATGTACATGAGATAAATGAGGGAACAGTTTTTAATTTTTTATGTTTAAGGGTTTATTTATGTTTATTAGTGTGCGTGTGTGTATGTGTGTGGGTATGTATGTGTGTGTGTGTGTGTATGTATGTATGTATCTGTGTGTGTGTGTGTGTGTGTGTGTGTGTGTGTGCACGTGCGTGCCTGGTACAAAAGAAGGCTAGAAGAGGGTCTCAGGTCCCCTGGCACTGGAGCTACAGATAGTTGTGAGCCATCATGTGGTTGCTGGGAACTGAACCTGGGTCCTCTGGAAGAGCAGCCAATGCTCTTAAACCACTGAACCATCTCTCCTGTGTGTGTTTACTGGGAATCATTTTATTTTGTTTTTTTTAATCAGGCAATTATTATAGCTTACGCTCCCAGCATGAGAAAGCAGCCTTATATTTCCAGAGAGCCCTGAAGTTGAACCCTAGATATCTTGGGGCCTGGACACTGATGGGGCATGAGTACATGGAGATGAAAAACACCTCTGCTGCTATCCAAGCTTACCGGTGAGCACCTCGTGGGCTGGGGAGGGTAAGGGGAGCAGACTTCTGTGTTATCAGGAACCTCTGGTAAGCCTACGTGTTGCTAACCTTAATTCTTTTACCATGTTTCTGGTCTGATTTGTCTATTTCTTAGACATGCCATTGAAGTCAATAAGAGAGACTACAGAGCTTGGTATGGCCTTGGGCAGACCTATGAAATCCTTAAAATGCCATTTTATTGCCTTTATTACTATAGACGGGCCCACCAGTTGCGGTAAGTTGGTTTCTTGACAACATGGTTAATAGGATACCATCTCTCTCAGGCATGAAGGGTGTGGTCTAGTAATTTTTACTTGGTGTCCCTACTAGTAGATTTATAGGATAATTATGGACACAATGTAATTAAATGAAGAATTGATTGAAGAACAGTCCTTGCATGTTGGGAATAGCATGAGAATAGTAGAGACTAGCCTTTCAGTTGAGGTCTTGGTAAAGTCTTTGCTCTAACTATTTGTCACCCTTTTTCATAGTCCCAATGATTCACGTATGCTGGTAGCCTTAGGAGAATGTTATGAGAAACTCAATCAACTAGTGGAAGCCAAAAAGGTACCTCAAATTTTGGCCTGGAGAATTTGAGCAGAATCTGCTGTTTAGAAGGAGGTTGGACTGTATGTGCTGTGATCCCCGGCCCCCGTATTCTGATGTATGTGTATAGCAAAGTCTGAATATTTTGTAGGTGCATGGGATAAAAAGAAATTAGGCTGATTATTAGCATGGATGTTTACATGTAGCCTGGACCTATAACAGTTAGGGAAATGCTCTGTATTGTGTGAGCCTGCATTTCTAGAAGGCTTGCATGGCCTTAGCATTTATGTGATTAGTTGTTCCACATGGGCAGTAGTCAGAAGTGACCGGTTTATTCTTTGGCAGTGTTATTGGAGAGCATATGCTGTGGGAGATGTGGAGAAAATGGCTCTCGTGAAGCTGGCAAAGTGAGTGAGTGTTTCTGATACTCATGTTGGTTTTCCTGAGGTCATGTCATACTTGAATGTGGGCATGGAGCAGGGTGTGGAAATGCTGGTTTTGCTAGTGAGCCCCACTTTTTTCCATGTTGTAGATGAGCCCAGGACCTCATACATGCTAGGCACAAAGTTATTTATACTCTGGCCGTAGCCTCTTGACTCTAGAGAGTGCCTCTTCACGTTGAGTTGGAAATAGATTTCCTATTAAGCTAGAGATGAAAAATGAATTGAGAAAGACATGAATGTACTAGAGGTGTAGTCAGTGGTTGAGGCCTAGCATGTATCAAGGCCTGTGTGCATGCGAGTTAGTTCTTTGTTATAGTTTTCATTCTTACCAGTATTAACTGGAAAGTTTTGCAAGGGTATATTATCCAGTTATCAGTTTAAGTTAACTATGTTTTTCAAAAGCTTTTTAAGTTTTATGTATATTGTTTTTTTTTTTTTTCGAGACAGGGTTTCTCTGTATTGTTTTGGAGGCTGTCCTGGAACTCACTGTGTAGACCAGGCTGGTCTCGAACTCACAGAGATCCACCTGCCTCTGCCTCCTGAGTGCTGGGACTAAAGGCGTGCGCCACCAACACCCGGCTAAGTTTTATGTATATTGTATGGGTACATGCACATGGAGGCAGGGGACATCTTTATCAGACTTTGCTTCATGTGCCTAGAAAGGCTGAGCCATCTCACCCAGCCCTTAAATAACCTCCCCCCCGAAAAAAAGGGTCTTACTATGTAGTCCTGGGAGACATCTTGCCTGTTTTGTTTGTTTAGATCTTGTTTTTTTAAGACAGTTTCTATGTATAACCCTGGCTGTCCTGGAACTGCCCTGTAGACGAGGCTGGCCTTGAACTCATAGATCCACCTGCCTCTGCCTCCTGAATGCTGGGATTGAAGGCGTGTGCCACAGTAACCATTTGGTAGGCACTGATAGTCTTCGGGGTCTCAACATGTTATATATGTTAAAATTAACTGGTTTATATGTTATTTCTGATTTTAATTATGTCTTCACATAGTAATCTTTGACTTGCTTTGTGGCCTGAGTTTTATTTAAAGCCCAATTTCTTTTGTAGGCTTCATGAACAGTTGACTGAGTCAGAGCAGGCTGCCCAGTGTTACATCAAATACATCCAAGACATCTATTCCTGTGGGGTATGTGTCAGAGCATGAGAGCGGTGTCGCTGACTGACGGCTTCCTGTCACCTCAGTCATGCCTGCTTTCCTTATCCTAGGAAGTAGTGGAGCACTTGGAGGAGAGCACAGCCTTCCGCTATCTGGCCCAGTACTACTTCAAGTGCAAGCTGTGGGATGAAGCTTCGACGTGTGCCCAGAAGTGTTGTGCATTCAATGATGTGAGTGTGGTCTTTGCATGACGTGTAGGGAAGTCTACTTTGGTCTGTCATTCATTGAATAGTTCCTTTTTGCTTTTTTTGTTAAGGGGGCAGGACTCTTCTTTATTTGTAAGGAATGTTCTGAACAGTATTTTAATAACCAGCTTTTGAGAATAGCATTGAACACATTTTGAAACAGCTGTGACTTTGTTTCAGACCCGGGAAGAAGGTAAGGCCTTGCTCCGTCAGATCCTACAGTTGCGGAACCAAGGGGAGACGCCCAGCGCTGACACACCTGGCACCTTTTTCCTCCCTGCCTCACTGTCTGCAAACAACACTCCAACACGCAGAGTTTCTCCACTCAACCTGTCTTCAGTCACACCGTAGCTGACAACTCTCAAGTCAGCGCATTGCTAGACCAGTATTAAGCCTTACCTCCAGTAAAGAACAGCCACATCTGTTCTCCCAAGGACCTAAGCTCTTCTCATTTTTACAGATAGAAAAAGCCTTGGGGACAGCCTATGGAATCCCCTCCAGAGGCAGACAGAACTGTAGCAGGGGACAGGTACTGTCTTCTCCCAGCAAGCACTTCTTGGCCTTCCCATAGTCTCCCCACCTCCAAATCCCTTTCACAGCACTTTACCATAAGTGATGCTCCAGAAAGAAGGCTTTAATGCTGCTGGGAGTGGAGAGGCAAGGAAGGGGGTAAAGATTATCCTGCTTGTCTGCTGTCCTGCAGCAGGGAGGGCAGGTGTTGACCTCTCTGTGTAGCCGAGGCTGGGATCCCCCTGCTTCAGCCTCCCTGATGATGGGATTACAGGCATATGCCATGAGGCCTGGCTAGAATGACCTTTATTTTGCCAAATGTGGCCTCTATTGCGATGCCAGAGATTAGGTTCAAATGGAGTGTAGCTAGCTACCCATGGTCTTGGGGAGATGTTTCTCAAAGGGAGTCCTCCTTTTAAAACCTTTCAAATGAAGTCTCAGTGAGCACGAACTCATATTGAGGGCAGAGATGGCTATAGCATGAACTATACCCTGATGAAGGCAACACAAGGAGACCAGATTACAAATGACTTTGTGGACATTTGAAAGTAACTTTTCTATTTCAGATATAAAATTCATGCTGGCACCTTTTAGTAAATAATACTTTTGTTTTCAACCTTATCTACAAGGTTGAGGGAATCATTCTGTGTTCTTGATGTTTGTACCATGTGATGCTATAGATTATTCTGTTATATTCCCCTCTTACTTTTGAGACTTCATTTATAGAGAATCATTAGCTGGACATTGTAGAGCATGTCTTTAATCCTAGCATTTTGGAGATAAGAGGCAGGTTAACTTTGAGACTAGCTGTCTACACAGCAAGTTCCAGGCTAGTCGGAGCTACATTTATAGTAAAGCCAAACAATCAAACCTTCAAATATGTATTGCCATTTGACTCATTTCGTAGTGCGCCTTAGGCTGGTTCCCATTGCTGTTCCTGTCCAAGGGTCCAACGGGCCAGATGGTATTTATATCAGTTTCTGTCCCCCTTTTTATATTTTTCTAAGTTTGGAATCCAAATAAAAGCATAAACCATGTCTTTATTCAGTATAATATTTGTGCACAGAAAAAAAAAGATTATATAAGTGACTATAATACAATAATTCTGGATACAGTTCAGGATATATATATATATGTGTGTGTATGTGTTAAAGCTTAAGAGACTTATAAGCTGAGCAGCCTCAGATCATCAAGCATGCATCTTCATCTCCACAACTTTAGTATTTTTTGCCAAAAGGAGATCTGAGCAAAGGAGAGTGCCGTGAGCGCAAGATCCTCGTGTAAGGGCCGCTGTCGGTAGAGCTTGGGCAGGTGGGTGTTCGGGGAAGTAGGTTTCGAAGGAATGGCTTCTTTCCTGGGGGTTGATGATTCGGTTGCTGATTTTCCTGGTTTGTCCCCAGCCGCTTTTTAGCAGAAGAGCTTTGGAGCTTTTGCACAGTGTTATACTGCTCGGCAATGCAGGCTGCCTTTTTCCGCAGGTCCAGTTTCACTAGCATCATGTTATTTTGTAGCTCAGCCAGGGTCTGGTTCTAAGAAACATACAAGTTAGAGAAAAAAATACTAATGTCTTCAAAGGTTGAATCTTCTATGGATGTGGTAGTATACACCTTTAATCCTAACATTTTCTAGATTCTAGGTCAGCCAGGGCTAAACAGCGAGACCCCGTCATCTTCTGAACTTTCAGCTTGTCCCTAGGTATCAAGTACCATGTTCAGTCTAAAAAGTGTACATTTTTGCTTAGCATTTTAAGATCTCTGGTATCAGGACAGGTCATAGCTTAGTGATAGAGCGCTTGTTCAGCATGCATGACGCCCTGGGTCCCACCCCCAACATGACACCAGCGTCACGTTTTCACTAGTGCATCTTTCTCTTCCGTTCTCACGTGTTTACTGGAGTGGGCTGGAAAGGGGAGGACCATCCAGGCTGCCCTCACCTGCTTGATTAAGATGTCATCACAGTTGGTCAAGGCTTGCCGAAGTTTTTCTGCTCCGGTGCTGTGGCAACAGGCCCTTTCTGCTGACTGCAGAGACTGTCCTAGTTTCTGAATCTCTGTCCGTAGCAGTCTTATATTCTGAAAAAGTGGGAATCACATTGTGGCCAAAATCAACCATGGCAGCCATTTGAAGACAGACTTGAGGGGGGGGCTGGGGGTTGACAGTCCCAGGAACCCACATGGAACCCACGTGGCCTCCACATTACCACACGCAAAAAAACGAAAGGCAAAAACTGCTTTTCTAAATAAATAAGCCTCCCCATTCTCACATAAATTGCATTGCAGATAAAGTGCTTTGATAACAGAGAAAGGGTAGTACCTTCTGGCCCTCCTCTAGCTTCTTATCTACATCAATGGTGAAGGGCTTAGCTGTAGGTGGTGGTTCTAACATTTGCTGATACTTCTGCAGCTCTGAGGGAAACACAATATAATGCATTTGAATACAGGTTTTTCAGCTTCTGGCTTACCTCTTGAACATGGCAAGCGGACAAGTGAGGCAGTGTGCATCCTAGAGTAAGATGGGCAGACGTAGCCTGAAGTTTGCACCCAGCTCCTCCCTCACCTGCTGCCACCCCTCACCTTCAGTTGTGGAGCGGAGCTCTGCTTTGCACTGTGCTAGTTTATCTGTGACTTCCTGCAGCTGCTGCGTGGAGGCAGAGGCTGCCAACCTCTGTGACCGCCGCAGGGACAGTGTAGACCCTGGCTGTTGGGCCACAGGCTGCTTTTTGGCTTCTTGCAATAGAGTTTCTAGCTCTTCAATTTTCTCATCCCGCTCCTAAGATGGAAGCAGAGAACACAGTTTTCTGTCCAGGGTCAGATTAAACCAACATAAATCTTGACCCTGAACCTAAACTGGGTAACTACAAGGCACTAAGGGAAATGAAGAAAAACGAGGTATATACTGAGTTTATAAAACTGAGCTAGATGTGGTAGTGCACACCTTTCTTTAATCCAGCACTCAAGAGGTAGAGAGGCAGAGGATCTCCGAGTCTGAGGTCAGTTTAGCAAACCAAATCGACCAATAAATAAACAAAAGTAAAAATTTTATCTCAACCAAGTGATGGGAATCTGAGACACAGTTGGGACTGGTTGGGGCAAACTCACCTGAATCTCTTCTTGGTAGAAACTTGTCAGTGACTCCTTCAGGATCTTTAGCTTCTCTTCATACAGTTCCTCCAACAGTTCCTTTTGGTTGTCCAAATGCTCACTGACAGAAAAGGGTAGGGAGTGAGGATTCTGAGGAGTGAAATTGAGGCACAAACCCATCCTTCTGCCCCCTATCATAGGTGACTCTGAAGGGTCCAGAAATAGGGATGCTGAAATAAAAGGAATAGGAATATAGAGACACATTTTGAAAAAAAAAAACAAAACACAAAGCTGGCAGCCACTCTTAACCTTTAACAGCCATCCTTGCCGGGCGGTGGTAGCACACACCCTTATTCCCAGCACTCGGAGGCAGAGACAGGTGGATCTCTGTGTGTTCGAATTCAGCCTGATCTACTGAGCGAGATCCAGGGGGAGGTTCCAAAACAGAGACCTCGTGTGGAAAAAACAAACAAAACAGACATCCTGGCAGCCACTGTGTACAGAGGTAAATTGTTTCTTTCCTCCCATCCAGGCAGGTACAGCACACAAAGGTCAGCGTCTAACTATTGCAGGAGGAATTGTTTTCTTTCAGGGGCAGTGAAGACCTGCCGTATCAACCATGGGCTTTTGTAGACCTGTGGCTTTAAACCTGACCTCAAGGTTGTAAAAGCTCTTTAACCCAAGACAAGCCCCCAGTTTCAGAGGCCAGCTCTCTAGCTGTGGTCCCGGTTCGTTGGTTTTGTTCCCCATGTTGATTTTACTTATTTGTGTGTATGGCATTCCGCCTCCATCAGTGCCTCGCACCGGCAGAGGCAGCGGCTCTCACTAGGTGGCTGCTGGGAATTGAACTCAGCCACACCTGCACCACTGCTCCCGCTGCTGCATCTGCTCCACCATCTCGTTGCAGATTTCCTCCCGGAGCTGCATCTCCAACTGCAGCTTTTCTTGTCGTTCCTTTAGAAGCAGGGCTTTCATGGCTTCCACCACTTGTAGTAGCTCCTAGGAAGGGCACGTTTGTAAGAGATCTTAAGATCCTGCAGCAGCAGCAGCAGGCCCAAACCCATGAAGAGCACTCGAGCACGTGTAGCCATCAAGCTGCTCGAGCTTCCTCGCGTCTCACCTCCTTGCCATACATGGAGAGGTCAGCCTCGTTTTCAGGGTGGTCATCAAGGCCTGAGTCAGCGTGGTCCCCTTTCTCTAAGCCAGGGGACGCCTGAAGACCGTGCTCCTTGATGAATGAATGCAGGGACGGGATTCCCAAATGTACAGGCGGGGCATGCACAAGCTAGAGGAGAAAGAAAAACCTTACTTGACTGTTTAGCTAGTTCCTAAGAGCTATCTTAGGGCTGCTAGTCCAAAGTAAGTGCGACCATCCATGCCTGTAGCTTCACACCTGGCTGGCAAGGGCTGAGAACTTGGCCACGTGAAGAGTCTCATCATAGGCAGATGCACAGGGATTCACATTGACAATCATACACGAGCGGCCTCGACCAGTGAAGAAGCTTTGGAACACACGAGTCAGCTTGCTGTCTCGGAAAGGAATCAGGCTCTGCTTTGACCTTGCACAGAATCAGATAAATAGCATTTTTTTTTTCGTTTTTTGAGACAAAGTTTCTCTGTGGCTTTGGAGGCTGTCCTGGAACTCGCTCTGTAGACCAGGCTGGCCTCGAACTCACAGAGATCCGCCTGCCTCTGCCTCCTGAGTGCTGGGATTAAAGGCGTGCACCACCAACGCCCGGCGATAAATAGCATTGTTAACGTAACTTCAGCCCCGAAGGGTTTCTAAGCACCATCCTCACTGGTGACGGCCACTGACGAATCACCAAACCCCAGGTCATCCTAGCCTGCCGCTTACCTGTTCTGCTGATTTTGTCGCAGGGCAGCAATACATCGACCCAGGGTGTGCAGAGAAGTGTTAATGTTTCCTGCTTCCTTTAGCCGCTCACCACTTTTTTGATCTTTGCAGCGCTCTGAGCCGGCCAAATCACAGAGTGACAGTCTGGATGGGATAATGTGTACGATCTGGTATAAGGAACTCAGCTTATTACATAATTCTGGTAAGGGAAGGGCCTACCAAAATTTTTTGTGCCCAAGGAAGGAGAATACTTAATTCCTTTGAGAAGTTCCCTTTGCCTCCAACTAGGTGGTCAAGACCATCAACCCTCAGTGGGAGACTTACTCACTGATCTTGGGCACCATGTCCCCTTCTCCTTGAAGGTGCAAGATTCTGACTGAGAAGATGCTGTGACTGAAAAGGAAGAGAAAAGTCACATCAACAAACAGGTGAAGTGCTAAAGCTTCCTAGACAGTCAGGAGTCAACTCTCACAACTTGCCTCCGACTGGAGTTCTGGTTCAGGTGGGTGTTAGCGAAGCTCTGGTTCTTACGACCCACTCTCAAGAGTTTCCAGGCTTCCTCAACATCTCGAACATGAATCCAGTTGAGGTCTGGGGTCAAGACAGAGGCGGGGAACACTTAGCCCTGTTTGCAGTTCCCCACGCCCCCAGCTGTCCCAGCGGCTCCTCTCCCTCTGCAAACCTTTCACGTAAGGATTGCCGTTGTGGTCCTCGCACAGCCGCAGGGTCTGTCTCTTGTGCTGATGGCTAGGTGGTTCTAACAGGTCATAGAGCAACTCATTGTAGATCTCAAAGAAGGAGACCCAGACAGAGAAGCGAATGTCTGCTGGGACACTTACTGGGGCAGTGTCTGGCTGTGCCCATGACTGACTTGTTTCTATGGAAAAAAAAAAAAAAGAACAACAAAGTGTAGGTCATTAGCCAAGGAGCATTTCATCTTGCCTTGATCTATAGGAGTTTCAACAGACGGACTTCAGGTTGCAGTCCCTGGCTGTAACAGGGAGTGGGTCCAGCAGAGCCTACTCGGCACATACCATCCAGCTGGCTACTGCTGGGGAGCTGACTGGTGGAAGAGAGCCCAGCAACACCACTGTCGAAGCTGGTGCTGGTACCCATCCGACTGTCAGCGTGGGCCCGTTTCTTCAACGAGGTGGACAGCTCCTGAAGTGGCAGAGAGAGAAGATAAGCACAAACCCTAACCAAAGTCTGCACCCTTCCTTTATCCCAGCTTCACGAATACCTCACCTCTTGGAGGCCTCCCGTTAGCAAGGACAGCTTCTTTAGTTCCTCCTGTCGAACCTGCTTGCTGTCTAGCCAGATTACCTCGTCGGAGAGCAAGGGCTTCAGATCAGGTGTCGTATGAAGCTGGCCTTGGAGACTATTAAAGATGAGAGCCAAGGACCGTGGCAGGATCCCCCCATCCTTAACGGTACCTGGAGAATATCAGAGGTAGGCAGGGTCTTTCGCTGCATCCGAAGGTAAAGACAGCCATTAGACCCGGTTAGTAACCTGCTGAAGCTCACCACTCACCTTGGATCGTGTAGGTTTTCCCCGAGTTGGTGACTCCATATGTGTATATGAGCCAGTTCTGCCCTCTGAGCACGTCCCTTACCATGTCCTTCACCGTCAGGTTGAAGAAGGCTGCCTGTCCCACTTCTGGTCCAAATATCTAGAAACAGACCTGCTTATCAGAGGCTGCACTTCGTAGGACTAGTAGGTGTAATCCTTCTCTGGGGACTGACTACCCAAGCAGGTTTTCCTGCTGGACTCCAGCTGTTGCTAAATGCTGACGCCTCAACCCCTCTCTGCTAGACCTTCTCTTCCAAAGTAATACTTAGGGAATGCCATGGTTTGGAGATGAGTGGCTCTAGATCCCAGTCCTGTCTCCCACTTCCTACTTCTCTGGTTACAGTAAGATTACCTTCATTGTAACATGAGCCCTATAGGGAAAGAGGTGACAGTGACTCTGACACCGGTGGGAGTGAACGTGCCATCGTTACAGACACACACACGAACAATTCACACTCAGGTAGAAATCTTTTAAAGAAGAAATAAAGCTGGGTAGAGGTGGCGCATGAGACAGGAGGATCTCTGAGTTTGAGGCCAGCCTGGTCTACTGAGCAAGTTCCAGGACAGCCTCCAAAGTCGCAGAGAAACCCTGTCTCCCAAAACAAAACAAAACACCCAAAACAACATCAAAAGATTAAAATTTTTCCTGAGTGTCGGGTCTTTGTTCTTACAGCAGTATTGCATACCTGGGAAAAGGTGAATTTGTGGGTGGCCTGACCAATTCCCCTCTCATTGCTCTTCAAGGCAAAGGAATCTTTGGGTGCTTGTAGCATAAGGGTCTCTGTATTCTCAATACGGACACAGCCCTGAGAAGGCAGAGGCAGAGGTTAGCATAGTGAAGAAGCCTCTTTTGTACTACACCATCACCTTGAATCCTCACCTGATCTTCCTGTCGGTCCAACTCAGGAGTCAACAAGGGTCTGACTCGGAGGTAAACTTTCACCCTCTGTGCAGTGTCCTCAAACGGAGCCTGTAATACGAGGCCAGTCGGTTAACCTCTAAGCAAACGGGCAAACAGCCCAGTTCCTGGGAAGCATGCTACAATCCTACCTCAGACCCTTTGGTTCCACAGTCATTCTGGTCACATGAGCTTTGTTAGCCTTCCTGTCTCATCACTGCTCTGCAAATCTGGCTTGCTATACAGCAGTCTGAGTTAGAATCAGTTGATGTTTGAAAACTAGCATGTACCAGGTATGGTGGTATGTGCTTGTAATCCCAACATCCAGTAATAAGCAGACAGGAGGATCAGAAATTTAAAGCCAGTCTTGACTACAAAGGCTATCTCAATATAACTTTTATTTAACTTGGGTCCTCTGGAAGAGCAGGAAGGGCTCTTAACCCTGAGCCATCGCTCCAGCCCTGATAAACTTTAATGAAAATTGGGTCAGCAAGATGGCTCAGCATGCTGAAAAGAGACTGCCAAAAGTTCAATCACAGGAATCCACATAAAAATGGAAGAGAGCCGACTCCACAAAGCTGTCCTGACTTTCCCAACACACACACCCCAATAACAAGTAACAACAGACACGCCTGAATCAGTTCCAGTTTCTTCATGGACAAAGTTGTGAAGAATGAAGTTAAATGGCAATCGCCCTGTTTACTCAGCAGGTACTTAGAGAAGGTCTCTAGGGGGCTGGAGAGACGGCTCACAGGTTCAGAGCACTGGCTGCTCTTCCAGAGGTCCTGAGTTCAATTCCCAGCAACCACATGGTGGCTCACAACCATCTGTCATGAGATCTGGCGCCCTCTTCTGGTCTGCAGGGATACATGCAGGCAGAACATTGTATACATAATAAATAAATCTTAAAAAAAAAGAGAGAGAGGTCTCTGTATTCCCAAGGACCCTGAATTTTAGATAGTGCATCTGGTGGATGGTGCCAGAAATGCACTAAACATCTGCCAAGCACAGGGCAGCCCCTCCAACAAAGGTTTGGCTCCAAACATGAACAGTGCCGTAACAGAATGGCAGCTATGGTTATTACTGAAACATAACTTTCTTCTACCTAGTTAAGGTCACCACGGTTCTGTGCAAACAATTGTATGTGGTGCTAGGATTTGAACCTAGGACACCACAAACATTCTCACAGTCTCCATCCTTGTACCTATTTAGCATAAATAAGTAGCCTGGATACTGGAGAAATAAGATTATTCCCTCATCAATTAATTGAAAGCACGACGCAGTTAGGGTATTTCACGAATATAATACCAATAATATTCCTCCCCTCCCCCAACAGGGCTTCTCTGTGCAACAGTCCTAGCTGTCCTGAACTATCTCTTGTAGACCAGGCTGGCCTTGAATTCAGAGATCTGCCTGCCTTGTGCTGGGATTAAAGGCGTGCACCATGGCCTATTTTGCACTTGTTTTGTCCTGCTTTTTTTCTTTTTTTTAATATTTATTTATTACGTTTGCAGTTTTGCCTGTATGCATTCCTGCACTCCAGAAGAGGGCACCAGACCACATGACAAATGGCTTGAAGTCACCATGTGGTTGCTGGGAAGTGAAAGTAGTACCTGGGGCGGTGCTCTTAACTGCGGAGCTATCTATCTCTCCGGCCCTTGTTTTGGGTTTTCCAAACAGGATTCTCTTCTGTAGTCCTGGCACTAACTCACTATGTGGACCAGGCTGGCCTCACAGACCCACCTCCTGCTGGGATTACAAGTATGCCTCAAGTCCAGCTCTGCCCTCGATTTTTAATACAACTTTCACTTTCCCAGAGTCACTGGCGTTTGATCTCACACTACCTTGGGTAAAGAACTATTAAACTGAGGATACCACTTTCTTTTTTCATTTAATTTTCTTTCTTTGGTTTTTCGAGACAGGGTTTCTCTGTGTGACAGTCCCATGGCGCTCACTCTGTAGAGCAGGCTGGCCTGGAACTCACAGTAATCCGCCTGCCCTCTGCCTCCCGAGTGCTGGGATCAGAGGCGTGCGCCACCGCCGCCGCAACCACAGCCACCACCACCACCGCCGCCGCCGCCCATCTGAGGATGTCACTTTCTGCCCCGACGCCACTCGACTCCTTTACCTGTTTGTCTTCCAGGGGCGCGGAGATGACAGAGCAGTCTGACAACAGGTCCTTTCGGACTACAGACCTCAGGTCCGCAGCTGTGGACTCAAACACGGGGGAGGCTAGAGCATCCTCATCGGACAGCAAGTCCGCGGGCGGAGAGAGGATCCCGCGATCCATCGCAAGGGGTGGGGGGAGAGAGTCAGCCAGCGTCCACAGGGAGACGAAGACTAGCCGGGCAGGAGGGCACTAACGCGCAGACACCGCAAACCTGGGGGCCAGAAACAACCCCGTGGTGAGCAATGGCCTCGCTCAGGGCACCGGGTCGCGACTGCACCTCTGAAGGCGAACAGGCGCCGAGGGGTACCCGGCTCTAAAGCAGAGGGCCGCGCGCCCCGCACGGGCGTCCACAAGCCCGTCCGCCCGCGCAGGGGCGCCCCGGGACCCCCACGGGGCTTCTCCGCCCCGCTGCTAGCGTCGAGGTGACGGCCCGGGAAGAGTGACGGAGGGCACGGCCTGTGCCGCCCCGACCCAGCCCGGCTGCTGCACTCACCAGGACGCGGCCGGCCTCGCTGCGGCCCCGGTGCAGCACGCCCACCCCGGCTGCAGAGCCGAGACCCCGGCCCGACTCCGCCCACGCGGCGCAGCTTTGTCCCTCGCGCACCGTTTTAAACGGCGCGCTGAGCCCGTCCCGCCAATCAGAACGCGCCGTCTGCAGCCGCCAATCCGCGGGGTTGCGGGGGCGGGGAGAAGCAGGGGGGCGGAGCCGACCGGGAGGCCGCCCGCCTGCTTCCGCTCGACCTCGTCGTCGAATGTAGGTCCGGGTCACCAACCGCCAGGGGGTGCGGAGTTGCGGGGTACGGGGACCGTCCCCCGTCCCCTCGCGGCTCCTCGGCTCCAGCTGTAGGCGTCTTTCTCCCGGGGCTCCAGCCGCCGGGCCGTCCCCTGACCAGTCGGTGTGAAACAAAAGCGAAGACGGCGGACCTCTTAGTGGGGCTATCGGGCCCGCCCACCTTACCCAGGAGGCCCCGCGCACGGATCCCCCAGAGTCCCCCGCGTCCCTCGCAGGCGTTGAAGACGTCGCGGCCAAGATGGCGACGGGGACGGGCAGTGAGTATCGCGGCCGCTCCCTCCCCGCCTTCCCGCGTCGGAGGCCCCCGCAGCCCATCTTCCTCCCGCATAAAGGGAGTGTGTGGACGGGAGTCCTGCCCCCCCCCGGGGGCCGCCGCCTCGGGTTTGACCGCGGGGCCGGGCGGGACTCTTGCGTCCGGGCCGCCCCTTTGTAAACAAAGGCGGGGCCTGGTGCCCGGCGGCTGGGCCGGGCGAGCCGTGGGCGGGCGTCCCGGGCACCCTCAGCCGTTCCCCCGGCCCCGAGGGCAGGGCCGAGAGACGTAAACAACTTTATGCAAAGGAGGAGGCGGGCGCGGTGGGCGCCCGGGGCCTGCCGGGAACCCTCCGCGAGACGAGCTTGTGTTCAAACTGGAGTAGCTAGGAAACCGTTTTCTTTTAACGGGATGCTGCCCCATTGCTAGAGGTCGATCAAAAAAGCCACGGCATTTGAAACAAACAAACAAACAAACAAAAAACGTCCCGTGGCTGGCCGCGTATTTGCAGAGCAGGCGTCCTGGCTGGCGGGGAGGATGTTTTATTGGAATGGTGGAAATCAAGATTTTGGAGGTCATCAGTGATTGGCCGTCCTAGTTCACACCGATCGGACAAGGTTGAGATTTATTTTGTGTGGAGACGGGTTTTTTCCCGGGTGGCCTTAAACTCGGTGTTTAGACCAGGCAAGCCTCACACTTGAAAGTCTGCTCCCTTCTGCTTCCCGAGACCAGGATTAACACTCCGCATTCAGCCCGGGGCATTTTTGTTTTCAACCAGACTGTTAGCTGTTCTGGGACCTAGAGCTAGCTCGGTGGTCATTTCTAAGTCTTGTTTATTCCCAGAGCACAAGGTGCTGAGCACTGGCCCAACAGAGCCATGGTCCATCCGGGAGAAGCTGTGTTTAGCGTCCTCTGTCATGAGGAGTGGAGATCAGAACTGGTAAGGAATCTCAGCTATCTGATTCCTCGAGCTGTAGGACTGAGTATTTTCTTTTGTTGTTTGTTTCTTGGACAGGGTCTCTCTGTGCTATCCTGGCTATCTTAGAACTCACACTGTAGACCAGTCTCTGCCTTCCCAGTGCTAGAATTAAAGGCATGCCTCAAACTCCTCCCTCCCTGTCTAGCCTAGGATGACCTTGAACTCCCTGATCCTACTTCTACCTGAATGCTATGATACAGGCATGTACTATGAGGTCTGGTTTTTTTGTTTGTTTGTTTTTTTGAGACAGGGTTTCTCTGTGGCGATGCAGGCTGTCCTGGAACTCAGCTTGTAGACCAGGCTGGTCTTGAACTCACAGAGATCCACCTGCCTCTTGTATCCCGAGTGCTGGGATTAAATGTGTGCGCCACCAGTTTGCCTGCTTGTACATTATCTAGCATACCGTGTATTCTAGAAGAGGGTGTTACTGGAGTAACAGGTTTCGAGCCATCAAGTAGGTGCTGGGGATTGAACCAAGGTCCTCTGGATCTTAACTAGTGAGCCTTCTCTCCAGCTGTCTTTACACTGTTATAATTAGTATTGCTTACAACACAAAAGTTGTGGAATCACTTTTTTAAGGTAGGGGCTCTATTTTTTATTTTAAATTAGAAACAAGCTTGCTTCACATGTCAATCCCAGCTGTCCCTTCGGGGGGGGGGGGGGGCGCACACACTCTCTTCATAGCTCTGGCTGTGCTGAACCCGCTATGTTGACCAGACTGACTTTGAACTCACAGAAAACTGCCTGCCTCTGCCTCTCTAGTGATGGGATTAAAGGCATGTGCCACCAGATCCAGCCAAAAGGTTTTTAATTCTACTACTTTAGTTTCTTTGCTTGAGAATTGTCTTGGAAAATGCTTATTTTGTTTTTTTTTCTTCTCATTGGCTTTTACTATTAAATTATTTAATACCATTATTGTTTCCTGTGTATCTGTGTTTTGCCTGCATGCATGCATGTCTACTATGTGTTTGCCTGGTGCCTTTGGGAGAAGTCTTACTGAAATGTCTTCAGTTGGTTATGAAGGTTTGTTTTTGTTGCTAGCCTCCAAATCTCTGCATCATCTGATCTTGTCCTCAAGAATTTTTACCTCTGTCTGCTGTTTTTTGGGGTTATACTTGTATTCTAACACATACTCAGCTAGATAATACTTTCCTTTTTGTTTTTTTTCTATTTTGTTTTTTGAGACTGGGTTTCTTGGACCTTGGCTGTCCTGGAACTCTGTAGACCATGCTGGCCTCAAATTGATGCAGATCCATCCACCTGCCTCTGCTGGGATTAAAGGCAAACACCTCCACCTCCCAGCTCAGCTAGATAATATTTTAATTACAGAAAGTTGTGCATAGATTGGTTCCCGTCTTGTAACTCAGTAGCTGTGAGCTTGCCTTTGTTCCTGTTGTTACGTTGATTACCGATATGCGTGGTCTAGTGTTCAGTTTTTCCTCTGTCAGGAAGATAGTGAAGAGGTTTAATATAGTTATAGACCCTGGTTGATAGAAAATGCTCTTAGGGGATTAGTTTGGTTTGGTTTATTTGACATGGGGTTTCACTTTGTAGCCTTGGCTGCCTGGTCAGCCATGTAGACCAATACCTGGCTGCTTTTAGGGGAAGGGTTGGTGGGGGCAATGACAGTGTCTCTTTATTTAGTTCTGGCTGGTCTGATACTCACGTAGCTCAGGCTAGCCTCAAACTTACGATAGCTCTCTTGTCTTAGCCTCCTGTTTGTTAGAATTATAAGCATACATTGTACACAGTAAAAACTACTTCATAAAATTTAAACAGCTGGTACATGCTTTTAATCCCAGCATTCAGAATTGTGAAGCAAGTGGATCTCTGAGTTTGAGGCCAGCATGGTCTACAAAGTGAGCTCCAGGGTGGCTAGGTCTGTTTCACTGAGAAATCCTGTCTCCAAAAAACAAAAACAAAGCAAACAAAAAGTTGTGAGCTTTTAAGAGCAGTTTTTAAAAAACAGTTCTGTGTTAATAAAGGAATTTAAATGCAGTTTCTTAGTGAGGATTAAGAGAGAAAGTGACTCAGAATGAAACATGAGAGCAGAGGTGTGTAGGCTTCTCAAAAAGGAGTCATAAAAGTCAGACACACCAGATATAGGTGCTGGTTTCTCCAGGGAGAATGGCCGGCCATAGAGCTCATTTTAAGAGTCTAGTTGGGCTGGGTAGCTGGCCCAGTGGTTAAGGGTACTGGCTGTTCCTCCGGGGGTCCTGAGTTCAATTCCTAGCTCACAACCATCTATAGTGGGATCTGATGCCATCTTTTGGCATAAAGTTCATAGAGTACTCATAAACATAAAATAAAATAAATCTTTAAAAAATTAATCCTTTAAAAAAAATAATCCAGACTGGGGATATAGTTTGGTTATATAGTATTTGCATACATATGTGAGACTCTGGATACACTTAAAGATTTTATTACATTTTAGTTTATTGTGCATGTATGTGCATATAGGTGTATGAATGCCAATGTGCATGGTGAGGAAGTCAGAGAACAAATTGTAGGAGTTGATATTTCTTTTTTTTTTTTTTTTTTTGGCTTTTCGAGACAGGGTTTCTCTGTAGCTTTGGAGGCTGTCCTGGAACTCACTTTGTAGACCAGGCTGACCTCCCGAGTGCTGGGATTAAAGGCATGCACCACCAACGCCTGGCTTAGGAGTTGATATTTCTTTTAGCCTGCGAATTTTGGGGATGGAGTTCAGATCAACAGGCTCAGAAACAAGTGCCTTTATGCACTGGGCTATTTCGCCAGCCCCTGAATTGCTTTTTACATAGTTGTGTCATTTTCCATTGTCAGGTATTGCAGATCAAGGACTATAACTTTGGAGCACTTACCTAGTGTGCATGAGTGAATCTCTTGTTTTTTATTCTCACACTGAAAAGTAAATAGAGTTAATGTTGATGTAATACTTGAGTGACAATTCTTTATTCTAGTGTGATCTATGAATTCTAAACTTTGAACTCCGCATACTTCTACCACCTGTATTTTTCCTGTTTGATATATAACAGTGCTTTTCTCATTTTGTAGGGTGTCTGTTAGCAGAGCAATCAAGCCTTTTGCAGAACCTGGCAGGCCTCCAGACTGGTTTTCTCAGAAAGTAAGTTACCAGTCAGATGTTCTTTCACACTTACTGGAGTATGGAATTGGTTCTTTACCAGGCTCTGCCTTGTTGCTTACAAGGTTTTCTGTATCATGAAGGGGGAGTAACTTACAGTGCTGGAGGTTGGGTGTAGTGGTACATGCCTGTAATTCTTGCAGTTGGGAGACAGGCAAGCTCACTTTCTAGACTAGTTGGAACAAGGTCTAGTTTCTTTGAGAGACCCTAATCAAGTAAGGGTTAGACTGGTTAAGGAAGACACCAGCATTAATCTTGGGTATCCATATCCATGTGTGCACACATGTACATGCACCCAGACACCCCACACATTAAAATAAAAAGTAGAAAAGGGGACTGGGTAGAAGGTTCAGTGGTCAAGAGCTCCTAACACTCTTGCAGAGGACTCGGGTTTGGTTCCCAGCACCTGCCTGCATCTGGTGGCTTAGAAATAAATTCCTGTGACTCCAGGTTCTGGGCATACAGTGCCTTCTCTGGCCTCTGAGAGCTCATATAGGCATACATACAGAGATATAAATAAAGTGCGGTGGTGGCGCACGCCTGTAATCCCAGCACTCGAGAAGCAGAGGCAGGCGGATCT